CTGTAATCAACGGCCAACTCTGGTTAGAAGTAAATAAGAGGAATAAATTTAAGAAAAAAACCAAATATTAAGTAACCAGATAGTAAAAGATAGCTTTAGATATAGATAACTAAACTAATTAGATAGTCACAAATGATTTTAAATCTGAATTTAAATTCATCGACGGAAATATCTGAATCAGTCATCGTCAGTCTCTCCTGATTATTTATTAACGCTTCTTCTTTCTGAACCCATTTTTAGTGTGTTTTCTGTCGATTCCACATGTATGTATGAATTGTAGAACCATCAATAATATGCTATTTTAGCTACTCTAGCTTATTTTCAACTGTATAAAATTATGTTTCGCATATCCCTGAGATCCAGATCAAGTTTAAAATCCTGCTTTTTCTGTTTTTCCACTCACCCATCATTCTTTTCGCCCTTTTCCCTCCACAGGTATAATTTTTTATGACTTTGAACCCTGCCTTTGTTGCAGCTAAGGTAAGGCCAAAAACTAGCAGCTCTCCCATGTTCTAGCACTATCTGTCACGTGGTCACATAAATGCATACTTGTATGATTCGTGAACCAGAGCAAGCTTTAAAAAATCTCATATACTTGAGTGATTTGAGGACCAGAGTATGTTTAAAAATATTGAACCCTCCGCTTTTTTTGTTTTTCCACCCATTCATTCTTTTTGCCCTTTTCCCTCCACAGGTGAACATTTTTTATGACTTTGCATCCTGCCTTTGTTGCTGCTCGGGTAAGGCTGAAAACAAGCAGCTCTCCCAAGTTACTTGCGCTATCTGTCAAATGGTCACATAAATGCAAACTTGAATGATTTGGTCACATGTAGCTTACGATAATTGTATTTTATTCATCATTAATCGCTTGTCCAAATTTGCTAGAATTAGGGGTATTGGATTAAGTTGACATGATTGTTTGATATAATGCAGTGGTATAAATCTATGGTGATTAAAGGTGGGTAGATTGATAGAATTGTGTAATTGCTGCTTCAGTTTACCTCATAAATTTTCAAAAATAGACATCTTTTTTAAAAAAAAAAAAAAATTACTTCAAATCAGCTCCAATTTATATTTGCTGTGTCTGAAGATTAGTGTTTTCAAAGACAATTTCTAAATCTGCTTTATATGCATTTTCACTAAATTTTGGAAAAATTTCTTTAAATATTCATTTTTATTGCAAAGGTAGGGTAATTTATAATTTTAATTTATATTAATAGTAATAAATTTATTGTGTTAGGTTTAAGAAAGCTTATTATTGTAATAAACAGCTACAAATTCATAAAGTTGTTATTGTATATTGTAAAATTGCACCACTGAATCACACCAAAACTTTGGCAATCCCCTCACCTTATGTTGAGGATACAGTGAAGATTGATGAGATTAAATGATGGATAGATGAGTTGAGTGATTGAAATAAAATTATGAATAGATGAATACCAATGTTTTTGGGTGTAATGAAATGAATGATGTTATTTCTTATATTTATTATTTCGTTTGTTAAATTAATATCAAATTTTGAGACACAAATATTTGATGCATTATAACTTGAAATGATCTTTAACACCTTTTTTTTTACAATTTTACGTTTTTTTTTTAACTTTAGGTATTGTTCACTGCTGTAAAAAGTATCGAGGATCATGGCTATGTTATGGAAACAGGAATTAATGGTTTAACAGGATTTCTCTCATTTAAGAGCACTAATTCAAGTAAATTGTTGCATTTAGGTCAAGTAGTTCCTTCGTACATCAATAAATTGCCAAAACAGAAAAATACTGGAAATGTTATAACACTGACCCTTCTTAGCTATGAAGATACCTTTCCTGTGGTAAGTTGTGCTTTCTTTTATTCTTTCATTTCATGAATGCTTCTTACTCCTGGTCAACCAGAAATTCATAAGTTCTACAGAGTGAACTAAAGCGCTGTTAAATTTTTAAGTATTAATCCAATTATATCAACTTTTACTTAAAAACCTACAAAAAATAAAATTTTATATCATTAAATTGGGGGGGGGGGTTATAGTTAATAATAGCTTTTATTTTGTGATAAGAAATCAAAGTTTCCTGTTTTTTTAAACCATTATTTTTTTTATTTCAATCAATTCTAATAAATGACTATGTGATGTCAACATTTTAAGTATACTCTACCCTTTGCAAAGAAATGTTTTCATGTTACCAGGCTCTGATTCTGAATGATTAAAGAAAAAGAGTACAAATTTTCTCTTGCATTTTAATTTTGTTTTCTAGAGACTATTTTTACTGAAAAAAGTTTTTTAGTAAAGCCTATATTTTTTAAAATTTTATAAAAAATACATGTTTTTTTTTATTTGACTTTTTGTACCAATGATATTTTGTTGCTCTCCTTTAGCTTTACGTTTATATAATTTTTACTTAATCCAGTTTTTTTAAACAGTTATTTTTTAATAAATCTTTATTTTTCTAAATTTTTACTTAGCAAACAGTCCAGAAACAACATAGCATTTTGGAACTGGTATATTTTCCAATGGTTTTATTAACTTGAAAGAGTTTTCTGCTTTAATTATTTCTTAAACACTTCAAAGAGAAGAAATTATAAGATTTACTACTGTTTTATCGCTATAAAAAAATAATTTCTTCATATTTATTGTAACTGAGAAACTATTTTGAGAGATCATTATCAAAGCCTTTCGAAGTGACATTATTTGTATCCGTATTGCACATTATTTCTATCTGTTTGACACAGTGAACAAAAAAATAGAAAGTAGAATTGACAATTTAGAAACAGAAATCAACAATTCTGAAAATAAAGTTTTATTCAGTTTTTTTCTATAAAATAGATCAAGGCAATTTGAAGGGATCCAAATTAAAATAAAACCAAGGTTCTGAAGAAAAATGTGCCTATTTCTCATTTTAATTTATACAATTAATGTTCGACTCCTAAATTCTTTGATCTTCTAAATTATAGTAGCAATTTTGATCTGATCTTTCCTGACAGTTGCCCTCAGGTGTCTTAAAGATAAAATTTCTTTTTGGAGATAATATAGATTTTCAGTCTAAGTTTCTTCCTGTATTACATTTTAATGCTTCTTATTTCATTGTTTTAGGTTTCAAACGAAGATGTTAAAATTTCATCTCTTTTGCCAGGTGCTCGTATTAGTGCTTATATTTCTGAGGTATGTTATTTTCCCCTGTATATCTGCTATCCTGATAAGCTTATATGCAAAGCTTGCCAGTTTTATTGAGAAACTTATACCAAACTTGTATTTTAGAGTGTGACGGAAAGCACAAATTGTCAAAATCCTATTTACCTACAAAAACATCATGTTTATATAATTCAACATAATAAGAATAATTAAATTATTAAATAGTCTGCCTTATTGTACTGAAACAAGTCTAGCATTTTTGATCAAAGACTGTATATTATGTTGGGTATATAAGTTGACAATTGAAAAAAAAATATATCAAAATTTATATTTTATTGTAAAATCTTTTAAAAAATGGGGAATTTCAAATTCTTTTGGATAGTTAGTGAAGGCTCTTTTTTTTGTGGAATTCTACAGATGTGAGTAGAAGTATGTATATATATATAGAATCCATTGCAGAGTTGATCTGTTTGACAACAATGCTAGCATTATTAAATCTGACACAAATCATGTTCTGGAATCTTTAAATTTGTAGCTTTATGACCTGTATTAAAGGTTTTCTGTGTGCTGTTTTTTGAAAATACTCTGGAATAAATTATCTTATCTTTTCTTATTCTTGAATTTTTTTTTCTTTCTGAAAGTAGTTTTAAATATTGTTTCTAAGAAAAAATTCTGCATTAAGAAAATATAATGAGAAAAAATGCAAAATTTTGTTTATAACTTATTAAAAATAGTTTTTGAAAGAAATAAATTAATGCAGAGTTATTCATTTCTATTGCATTGATATTTCAAGAGTAAAGAATGTATGAGTTGACCCCCAAATTTCATAAAATTTGGGGGGGTTTGAAAACTTAACTCATACACCACAATATAAGATACTTGAATTCTACCAGAATAGTTTGTCAAATTTAACTGACAGAGTAATAAATAACATTAACATTGCACTCAGAAAAGCATTTTAAAGATTAGTTATTGTTAAATTCTAATACTTGTAGTCAGAAAATATTACCGAAGATATTATTTTAATGTTTGAAGATATTATTTTCCACCACTTTTCTTTTAGGAGTGTTTATTCTAAAATCCCTTAAAATGTGATATTTTAAAGTGATATTTGTTTTATTCTTAACAGCACTTGCTCAGGGGTTAGAGCTCTTAATTCCTAAGAAATTTACCGCATTCTAATCCCAGTGATGGTTGATCATGACCTGTCATCACTGGGATTTGAGCCTCCTCATGTTAGACTAATCAAGTTAATGCCACTTGCCAAATATCAGCAAGCCTGCTTGGGGAAAATTTTGATTTAAGAGGTTTAGGAAGCATAGCAACAATTTACAGTTAATTTCGCATTTTATCTTATCGTATTTTCTTTACTTATTAATGTTTTTTATGAACAACACTTTAAATTATGTTCAGAAAAAAATTAATAATGTGAAAAGTTCAGATAAATAATTCAAGAGTATTTTGAATTAAAGTAAAAGAATATAAGAAAGTTTAAAGCATACTATAAAACTACTAGTTTAAGGATTCCAGAACATCATCTGTGTCAGATTCTATAACTTTAGCAGTGTTGTAAAATAGGTCCCACTCTGTGATGGATTCTACTTCTTTCTCATCTGCTGAGTCCCATGAAAAATAGTCTGCACTCTCATCCAAAGAATTCAAAGTTTCAATCTTTTTAAAAGATTATTAGAGAGAACAATATTTTATATGTTTTTATTTTAGAAATGGTATTTTTGGGGGGGGGGGTTTAATGGTTGACTTATGAACTTATATTATATTAATGACTTAAGGTCTGCCAAAATCTTTAAAAAGTAGTGTTAAACCTTGATGTTAAGTAGCTAAACAAAATATAGTAAAAGTTTTTTTTTGTTTCTGTTTTGTTCAAAAGTTTATTTATAATTTATTATCTATATATAATATTTTACCTACTGTTTTTCAGGTTTCTGAAACTTTTTTGTACATGAAATGCCTCAATTTTGAAGCTTGTGCAAGTGTTCTAACTGCTCGCAAGAGTCAGAAATCAATTAAAGAAGCTGTTGAAGTAAATTAATATTTTCCTACTAGTATATCTGCTATTTAATGTTGTGAACAAAGCTGAGTAATCTTATCTATTTTGTTGTAGCCATTTTTATCTTGCTAAATGCATTCCATTAAGTAGTGTAAGAAAAATTATTTCATCAAACACAAGTCAGCATGCTTGGTTTTTCGTTTCCAGCTACTTTGGGGTTGGCTGTTTTCTGAATCAGGTTTGAGTAGTGGAAGTTAGAACAAGTTACCAGTACTTTATGTCTTCAAAGGAACTAATATTATAATGTACTGGAGAAAAAAGAAGTTCTATTTACTTACTAATAAATAGTTTCCTTATTATAATTTTACCTAATTGTTTTTCCTATTAAAATGTAGCAAGAATTGCCTATAATTATTGAAGTACAGCTAAATCTGTTTGGCTCAATAGCGGTTTTTACTGGATATTACCTCATTTGAAATAGTAAATACTTTAAATCTTGAAATCTTTCTTAATGTTTAGTTACATAAACCTTAGATATCCAGGAATATTAACTTAATACCCAATTTTTGTGGAAAAAAATTTTAGTAGCATTTTTCGCAAAAATTTTTAGTTTATCATAATTTTCTGTGAGAAAATACGTTCAAAAGTAAAAATAAGAAAATAATGTTTTTGAAGGAATTATTTTCCCTAATAATAAACTATTAAGATACTTCTTTCTAACTTTTTTAGGAAACAATACTTATTTATCATGACACTTACTATTTAAAATTAATACATGCATTTATTCCCATAATTTCCCTTTCTTCACAAACTCACTTTTATATATGGATTATCTAATTTCAAAGACTTGCCTTTCAGGGTTGGGTTTTTGCCGTCAAAAACTGGTTTTTGACATGACATTGGTAAAAAACGTGTTTTTACCGGTAAAAACTGTCAAAAACCTACCGTTTCCTTTTATTTATGGCATATAGCAGACAATATATTATTTTCACATAATTGCCTTTATAAATTATTGTTGTAAATGATTGCTATTGATTTTGCAACTATATACACGTATTCTTATAGAAGGATATACATTCATACAGAAATATTGTAGTATACTTATTGAAAATAGTGATACTTACTTTTATCATTATAGCTTGATTTGCAAAGGATTCAAAATTTTGCACTTCTTAATTGTTAGAAATAAACAAACAAACAAAAAAGCTTGGAACTATTAATAAATTCAAGAACTAAAAAGAAGAATTTAAAATTTGGCATTTCTTAAATATTAGAAATAAGCTAAACAAAACTTTCAAAACTTGTAACTACTAACAAACTCTAAGTCAAGAATTACTGCTATTTTGTCAAGTTAAAAGCTTTTATTCAGTTGAAAAAGCACATTAAACAAAACTTAATTACAAACAAAATTATATGTTCAGTAGTCGGGGTCACTGTGCCGAAGCATACGATAGCAAGTGACTAATTTTGCACATTTTTCATTGCCCAGTCGATTTCTGAGTTTAGTATGAATGAGTCTGAAATTCAAGAATAATGAGGATTCGAGATCATTGAGGATAATGATAACAAAAGGTTAGTGCAATGTTGCAAGGAAACTCTAAAAGGATTTCCCAGTCTTTTTCATGTCTCATTTCTGTGTAAAATATTGAAAACAAAAACGATAAGAAAAGTTTATTTTATGAGGCTTTCTTTTTATGTGTACATGTGATTCTCAAAGCAAGATTTTATGAATGAAAGTAATCAATCTTGGCATTCTTCAGTAATGTAATATGCCCAACAAAATGATGCTTGGAAATGTTGAAAATTTTGATTAGTATCCTAATATTTTACTTCAAATAGTATGTTTTGATATAATCATGTTGGGGAAAATGCAGAAATCTGTTCTTAAATATCTTTTAGCAACTTTGTTTTAAATTTTATTGCCAAAAAAATGAATTAATTTTAAATTATAAGCAGTTAAACCCAAATAAAAATACAGTTTTATCCAAACTATGGGTTTTTGACAGAGAGGTTTTTGACATGACGGTAAAAACCATGGTAATAACCGGTAAAAACCGTCGTGTCAAAAACTTGCCAACCGGAAGTTTTTTTTACATCTGCTCAAAGATGCTATTTTGTTCACATTGTAGGAAGTTTAGCACCCCTTACACCTTCCCTCTCCTTTAAAAGCAGAAAAAATTGTGTTTACCAAGAGAAGTGGGCTCCCTAAAAATTCAGTGTTATTTACACAATCCTAAGCAACATGGTGATATATATTGTCATGCCCTCATATATTGTCACGTCCTTTCATCTCAGTTGAATTGAAATATTTGGCCAAGTGGTTGGTTTCCAATATGCTTTGCATTTCAAACTTCTTTAAAACTCATAATTAAAAGGTAAGCCATATTAGAAAGCATATTACTGTTTATATGTTTATGTAAGCATAGTAAAGTAGAGCAATATAAGTTACATTCCACTGTTTTGAATACTATTCCACAATTTAATTTTTCTAAGCACTCAAAATAGATTAGACAAAAAAAAATTTTAAAGAGTAGTTTACATTCTGTAGTAAATAAAATAAAAAAATATGTTTCTGCTTATTAAAGAAATATATCACATATTAACTCACAATAGTGACTTTTCCCCTGAAGAAGTTTTAATTAGATTTTAAATTTGAAATGTGAGTAAACTTTCAAAATACATTTGTTAATTTAAATTTTTCAAAACAAGATATTGGCATTTAAATGTTTGAAATTTAATTTCGATTACATGCTATATATCTCTGTATAATTTTTCTCAGGGTTTGAAAAAACCCAACCCATCTGCCTGAGTTTTATTGAAAAAACCCGGGGGAAATTAGGTTTTATTGATTTAGTGCTCATAAACTTACTGTACAAATATTTTTATTTATTAAAGAGTGTTGTATAAGCTTCAAACTAGAAATAAATCCAAAAAGTTATTTTTATTTATTTATATGTATTTTATATTAAATTTAAATAACGCATTATCACTAATACATATTTGAATCTTCTTTATACATAACGTTTCACATTTTTTAACCCAAGCATTATAAAATATAAATGCAGTAATATAAAAGGAACAAGTTTATTAATCTTTTTGTTTTCACAAACATTTATTTACTATATTTATTAAAAAAATATATATATATTAGGCATTATAAAATTATGATCAGTAAATACTTATAATCAGTAAAAACTAAAATTTCATCTGACTTTTGACTTTAATAAAAAACTGAAATAAATATTTAATGGTCTTCCATAGAATTTCTATTAATCTTCTATTACTCTTATTCCGTTTTAATAAATTATAATTGACAGTAAACGTTGTGGCATTTGTTACAAAATTTTTTCCTTGCATGATTAAAAGAAATGGTTTTAAGTACTAATATTTTCATTGCGACTTCTCCATAAAAACAAACAGTACACATTTTTATTTTTCCTAGGGAGCGCTGTAGACTAGTTGTGCAACTGTGTATGAAACACCAGGCATGCAAAGAAAACTTTTATACTTGTACAGTGTGCAAATTAAAAAACAGAGCACATTAATAACATTAAACACACTAAAATGCAATCTTAATGGTTCAAGGATCTAACCTCTAAAATGCTCATTATTTTAAATTGCAAAATCAGAAACAAAATTGTACTTTCTCTGAGTAAACATACTTCCCCTTTTTTTTTTTCATAATGCTAAGATTTTTTGATAATTAAATTACGGTAATTGTCTAAATTTTGGAGCATGTTTAAGGTTATACTCTCAAACTATTAATATTGTACCTTAGTATTTGGAAATCTTATCTTAAGATCAAAAGTTATTAAACTGTTCTTTTTTGTGTTCTGTATTCAACTTTTGTTATATTTTGCATTTAAGTATATATCACACTTTTTCTTATTTTTTGTCTGACCATACTACTTGTCCAAATGGTACTGTAATTTTATTTCATACTTTATTCATGGATTTTAAGATTTAATTAATAATGAAAAATAATAAATTCTGAATAAAGTAATCTTTTAATAATAATAATAAGGAATTATTTTAAATGAAAGTTCAATGATGCAAAAAAAAAAAAATGATTTTGTTATTTTCCTATGTTTTTTCATGTTAATTTTAGCCTAGTGCAAGTTTTAAGAAATCCCTAAAAATAGCCAAATTCTTGCTATTTCATTTTTAAGAATTTTAGATGTTTACTTACAAAATACAGATTTTATTAAATCTATTGCTTTCTCATTTAATTGTTGTATTTTCCCCCTCAGGTTTTTGGAACAGTACTGTATGTGCATCCAGTTACAAATGTATTGTATTTACATTTGGGTTCTTTGCCAACTCCTTCGACTTTTGATGCCTTTTTTACTGTTGAGAAGTATGACAAAATTAAAAATGCAAAATTTGTTTGTTTTCATCAACAAAAATTATTCTTCAAATTTGAAAAGAGCATGGGTTATGTAAAGGTAAATAACTTTGTTTTTAATGTTTATGGTAATATTTTCATAAGGTTTCAAGTATACGCTAATATTCATATTAGTATCTATTAAAATATTCACCTCAATTTCTTTAAGGATTTGAGGGAGAGGAACCTGAGCTTTCTCACTTTATAAAAAAGCTTTGGGGGGATCAAACTATCAGCATCTACACTTTAAAGATTTTATCAACTTTGCCAGTAGCTTCATGTAGTCTAGAGATATCATTTTCTGCACTAAAATGTTTATAAATTTATTTGAAAAGTGTAAAAAATGAAGCAAGATTGATCAGATAGGCCTGAACAAGATTGAACAAATAGGACTGATCGAGTTGAGCAAATTGGCCTGACTTAATACCTATAAAAGCATTTCATTTACACAAGATGAAATGAAGTAACGAAACAAGACAAATATCAAGTTTTAAATCATGTCATAACTTATGAGATTACAGTTTATAGGTATATATTTAAAAAAGGCGACACTTTGAGTACCTTAAACATAAAGCAAAGCTTTAATTTTAAACTATAAATTCCCTTACTGCAACGAATTAAGCGACCCGACTTAAAAGATGAAAATGTTTCAAATGCTTTAAATATTGTTTTAAACAACAACAAAAAATTGCCAATTTGCTGGATTTTCCAATTTCTGAACCTTGCTGGATAGATTCATATTTACATGAACCTAAACAGTGCAGCGGGACAACTTCAAGTGTTTAAAAATTACATCACATTTTCATAGTTAGCATTAAGATCCCTCAAACAGGGTGAGAATCCTCGATTTTTTCGGGTTCCGCGTGTGATTTTTATCTGAATTTAGCTATTACAAAATCAAAATAAAACTGGTATTATGGAAATAAAATCTCATACAAAAAAATTATTAACTAAAACTTTCAAAATTATCAAATCTCTCTCATTTATCTCTAGGATTTGTGATGGAATTTTCACAGCTTGAGTAGATAAAAAAATAATTATTCAAATGCGCAATATGATAATCAAGGATCTTAATGATTGGCAAGTAAAAATATCCTACTTTTAAAACAAATCAAGATTTTTAAAAACTGCTAAAATTCGTAGCAATAATTGCCTATAAGTCATCAACAAAGCTGTGTGGATTAATGATGGAGTTGTTTTTAATCGAAGACAGCAAAAAAATAATTATTAAAATGTGTGGTTCAAAATTTGACAGTTAAATTATCTGTATTATTTCATTCTATTAGTTATATTATATATGGTCTTAAAAATAGAAATTTTATAAAACTAATGGAAATCTGGCAAAAACTGTCGAAAAAGTGACATCGTGGATTTACAGAAGAATCTCTGCTAATCAAGTGCATCAAAAAGTGATTATTCAGATACACCATTCGAAATTTTTAAAACCTTATAAAAATCTGTAACTGTCAAAAAAGCAATCAATAAAAACAGATTTGCAATTGAATTGGTTTTAATCAATTGTATGAAAAAGTAGTTATTTTAATTCATGTAATGTAAAATCAAAAATGTAAAACCATCTGTAATATAATGTAAAACCATCGGGATATATTAAGCAAAAAGTGATCTGCATAATCTTTTTGATTTACAATAAAGTCCATTACATTGTAAACATTGGAATCAAGTGCATTACAAAGTAATTAATTGTTCAATTGCACCATTTTTTTAATAAAAATTATAAGAAAATACTTAAATACTTGAAAAATTATTTTAAGAGTGGATAAAAAAATTTAATCTAACTTCTGCATTAATTTAAAATTAATTTCTACTTTAATTTTTTGGATTTGCATCATAATAAATAAATTACTTTTTCTAAAAATCTTTTAGACAGTAATATAACTTATCTATTACAACCATTTTTTAAGGATATTATCAAGTAATTGTCCAGTTTAAATTTTTTACTCTATTTGTAAACATCCAGACACCATGTTTAAAAAAAATGTGTTACATTGGCTCAGTTATCATCATAAATATTCGAGATTGAATTTTTTCATTAAAAAAAAATATTTTTTAAATTATTTGGAGAAAACTTTTACAATAAATAAGTTAACACTTGCAGGGTATCCGCACACCTGGAAAGTCATGAATTACAGTATTGAACAAAATTTGTCATGAAATGTCATGATTTTTACCATTTTTTTATGAAAAAATCATGGAAAGTCATGGATTTAGGTCTCCGAAAAATCTAATTTTTAAAGTGGAATCCCCTCCCCCATTTTATCTTGTTCCAAATATCTGAATTCCTAACAAAATCACCACTCCCTCATATTTTATAAGAATATAAAATAATTTTATCATGTTCTTTAAAAAAAAATAATGGTGTCCTTTCAAAAAATTGAGAAAAAAAACATCATTTCTAGAGCGAATTATCTTTTAAACTTCTGTGATTTAAGAATTTTTATTATTTATTTTTTTTATTTTATCAATTTAAAATTCTACTTGAAGCAAACCAGTCATTGGTGAATTTTTTTTATTCCGAAATGAGAACGGAAAAATCAGGAGCATTTCTTTCCTTTCTGATGAACAAGAAAAGTTGCTTTGTTTTTTAAATTAAAAATCTATAAATATGAAGATGCAGAGTATAACAATTTTGGTTTTACCTATCATTTTAATTAATGTTATTATAATGCTTTTTTTAATTTATTTTTGCTTTTTTGTCTGAGAAAATAGTAACATTGTTAAGTCACGAAAAATTCTTGGAATTAGTCATGAATTTGAAAATCTAAAATGTAACAGATACCTTGTAACTTGTCACTAGACAGAATAAATTTAATCTAAAATTTTTACTGTTAATTGACTTTTAACTTAATTGATGTTTGAACCAGTGTTATGCTCCCACCTTAGTGCCCAAATGACTTAATATATTTAGAAATAACAAATATTTTTAACTTTTATAAAAAAAAAAAAAAACATTTAATACATGAAATAAATATCAATTCTTCATAAATATTGAAAATTAATCTGATTCAGTCAAAACAAAATTAAATAATTTGTAAATAATTCAAAACATCTGAATTGAAATTTGATTCAAAACAAACAAACCACCTGACTGACTTGACCATTTAGCAGATCTTGTTATAAGATGGTAGGAATAGCTGTTCTGTTCGTACTGTGGCTTGCTTGTTTATCTTTAGCGTGATGTCACGACTGAAAACAGAAGCATGTTTTTCTCTATCCCTGAAAAGACTGGTTTTGATGGGAGAAATTTACTGGTTGGTAATGGTTTACAGACTTACTCATCTTCACAAGGGGCCGGGTCACTTTTTATAGAAATTAATTGTGAAAGAAAATGCAAAAGAGAATGTTTTTGATTCATAACTTTAAACATTTGTTTATATTTTTAAAGGAGTGTTTCTCAAATTATATGATTATGAGTTTCTTNACTTGCCTTTTGCCGTTATCCTACCTAGAATGCCAGCTTACGGCCTTACGTTTGCCGTGAGGTGTGTGCTTACTGGGTTGTTTATTTTTTTAAAGGAGTGTTTCTCAAATTATATGATTATGAGTTTCTTACAAGGATTTTTTATTAAACTAAATTAAAACATAAAATAAGATACTTAGTTATTTATTTTCTTATTCTATTGAGATAGGCTTTTATTAATTCAAAATTATCTGTATCATTTCATTCTATTAGTTTATATTATGATTCATTTTATTGCACTTAACATTATAAAACATTTCAGGTACTTTTTTTTTAAAAATTTGTTTCGAATTAAGATTATAAAGTTGAACTAGTTATTGACCAAAGGGGGAGGAGAAGAAGAGAAAGCAAATAACGTTTAATTTTGTTTTATTAATTTAATTATTGCAAAAGATCAAAAAGGAAAAATGTGAGCCGTGTTTGATCTTAATGCTCATATTCTTTATATTTAGTATGAACTGGTGGACAATGATAAAAATAGTATTCTTGTGAATTTTTCTACTAGTTCTATTTCTTGTGAGTTTTTTTTTAATAAAAAAATTGGAAACATGAGATGCAGGAGCAGAAAGAAAGGTGAAGGAAAGGAACATATAAATAAAGAATACAATGTTAAATAAAACTGAAGAGGGGGGGAGGAGACAGAAATTCTGACCACAACATTTGTTTAAATCAAAGGTGCAATTTCTTGCAGTTACTGATTATCATATTACTTTCTGAAACAAAAGTTTGAAATTGATAATATGGAAAGCAATTTTAAGATCTATACTTTAAAAGGGGAATATTTTATAGTTTTTAATTATTATTTTTTGTGATGCACTAATTTTTTTTTCTGTTTGATTGATGAAGCGCTGCGTATTGTCTTGTTTCCTACCTTGTAAATTTCTATATTTATTTTGCTAAATTTTTTTTCAAATTGTTTTCATCCTATAGCTTTTCAATTTATTAAAACATGAATAAGATTGAGTGTCTATAAGAATAAACAGATAATAAGATTTTAGTATATTGTTCTCACCAGTTTATTATCATAATCAGCATCCAGTTTAATCAGGCTAAAATAAGGGTATTTTATATTCTTGTGTCCAAAAAAAACATGTTTACACCTTAAGTGATGCCACAGGAATTGATTTGCTTTCATGAAATTGTTACTTTTGCAGTACCCTTTTTACCTTTTATGAAATTTATTATTTGTTTCATTTTATAATTTCTTTCTCTATTTTGGTAGGAATACATATTCATTTATGGTTACTAATCTCTTCTTAATCTATATTGTTATACTTGTGTAAAAATCTAGCTACTCTACTGAATTTTTCTCTTTTTTTTGTACCTCATATGTTTTTATTTCTGGTTTAAATAATAGATGTGTTATTGATCTGTATAGGCTGCTTTTATTTCAAATCATATTATAATCATTTCATTTTGAACAGACTTATTTATTTTTACACTTTTAGAGTGCTGATGTTAGTAATAAAAGTAGCTTTTCACATGAATCCTTAAAAAAGAATCCTGTAGTTCCAAAGTAAGACTTATTTATATAATTTTTTTATTTCTTAGTATTCAAGTACATGCCTAAGCCTCTATTATTTGATCTGTGTATTTTATATTCTGCATATTTGTAGAAATAAAAAATGTCTTTTCAGAGCTCGAGTTGTTTTTCTTCATTATATGGACAATCTAATACAACTTACCTTTAAAGAGTAAGTGTGTAAAATGGTATTTTTTCCAAACATAATTTTTTTTTCTATTTAATGATATAAAATTTCTTTATTTCAGATCCCTTTTAAAGATGAAAATTGTTAAACCTAAAGATGTAAAAATTGGACATATCTATGAGGTATTTTCAATACTTTACCAAAGTTTTATTCATTAGGTCATATTTTAAATGTGCAATAACAGAAAGAAACATTATTTTTAGTGTAAATATGTTTTAAAATTGCTGATTATTGCCCCACATTACAAAAAACTTTCCTTATTTATTGACCAGTTATTTCCAATATTTTAGACTATAGTGAAAAAACATGTTGAAGATGGGATGTTTGTCTCAATATCCCCTGGTTTGTCAGGATTTGTACGCTCTATGTTTCTGTCTGATTCTTACATAACTAAACCTGAAAAACTTCATCCAGTTGAGTCTCATGTCCTGTGCAGAGTAAGTGTTGTTTCCTCATTTCCCCTCAAATAATAGTTTTAAGAAAGTATTTTTCACACTATTGAAAAAAATTTGTTACTGAAACTAAAATGACTAACTGTGGGGTTTGTAGTTGTCTTGATTTTCCTGTTAAAAATATTCTGTACTTATTTTAGTGTTTTGTTCTAATATTCCCAATTTTTTTCTCTCTTCAGAACATACTATTTTGACAAGCACACAATTTTAAAATAATCATTTGGATTTTTCTAAAATTATTTTTTTCAGAAAGGAATAACAGGGATGAGATTTTTCTGCTTTTTTCACTTTTATCTCTTAAATTTCAGCTTTTTTATCAAAAAATCAGATTTTCTAAAAATTTCATTTTTTTTTTTATTATTCCGTTTTTTCAGAAAATTCACCGATTTTCAAAGAGAAGCAGAAAATTCAGACTACATAGCTACCAATTCTTTCTCATTTTTACTTATTTTGCCTATTTTCTCCCCTTTTACACGCAGCAGATAAGATTTTCCTAATTTTTTACCCGCCCTCCAGATAGATCCGATTTTTATAGATCAAACGACACTGCTTCTGACAAGCTTTTTAGAGGTCCCAAGCCTGGAATCTGCTAATATCTCGATTCTTATTCACACGATTTTAATATCAAACATAGCTTTTCATATTTGCGTGTTGCGATTCTTATTCATGCAATTTGAATATTGTGCGTTGCGATTCTTATATACGAGATTTAAAAATCCGATATTGTGATTCGTATTTACGTCTTTTTAAAAACCTATGTAGCGATTCGTATTCACGCAAGTTTAAAATTCAATGTGTTGATTTGCTCATGCGGTTTATAATATCAAACATTGATTTTCGTATTTATACGTTATTTTAAAATAAGGCATTGGGATTCGCATTCACGCA